AAGCCTTTAGCTAAACAAGTCGACTTAAACAGTGATGGTCAGCATCCAATGTTGAGTGATGATTGCTGTGGTTAATAATTTTGGGGAATTATTTACCGCTACAGCTCACTCCCCCCTGGTGGGTTTGTGAGGACCCTAAGACATGACCAGCCGGAAGTAAAAAATCTCGATTGTTCCCTGATGGGTGAAAAAATCTTCCGAGCGGCTTGATCGAGTGCCTGTTGGTCTGTCTGCCTATGCTAATAGGGTGTCTGTACATAGCTTCCTCGATGTTGTTCGTTGGGTCCCGTGCTTCGTTTGTTTCCTGTCCAGTGCCCATCGCACCTGGAAAAGAAAACAAGAATGCTGAGAACCTTGTCAAGGAAAATGTACCAAATAAGCGTTTTTTTCAAAAAAAAGTGATGTGCATCCACTATACAGTAAAATAATGTAAAGTTCAAAATATCGGGGAAAAAATGTATATATTTAATTTAATTTTTTTCCAAGTGCATGTTTAATGTACGGTTATAGGGAAAAATCGCTTACTTGTGTTAAGTGATGCTACATAAAAAATTGATGTGTCTGAAGTGAAATAATGAGTTGGGTGAAACGTACCACTCATTTATGCGAAATAGGTGTGAAGGTATTCTGGGAATCTAACGTGACGTCCAGAACGCGTTTTCTTAGAATGGTCGACCGAAGTAGCCAGTGGGCGAATGCCCTGACAGTCAATAGTGTGACCCAGAAAATTGAGTGAGTCAACGCCTGTTTGACACTTCTGTATATTGATGGTAACACCATGTTGGCGTAACCTTTCAAATGCCAAGTCCAAGTGTCTAAGGTGAGTTTCCTTATCTGGACTGGCAATGAGGCAGTCGTCTAAGTATGCGTATACAAAGTCGAGACCGCGAAATACTTCATGGATGAAGCGTTGGAATGTTTGGGCTGCATTCCGGAGGCCGAATGGCATACGTAGGAATTCGAAAAGTCCGAAAGGCGTGATGATAGCCGTTTTCGGAATATCTTCCGTTGCCATCGGGATTTGGTTATATGCTTTAACCAAGTCGATTTTGCAGAATATAGATGCTCCAGATAACGTTGCCGTCAAGTCGTGTATGTGAGGCAAAGGGTAGCAATCAGGGGTTGTTTTGGCGTTCACTCGCCGGTAATCACCAGTGGGTCGCCAATGGTTACTATCCTTTTTCGGTACCATATGCAATGGGGATGCCCATGGACTATTCGATGGCCGAATGATGCTAAGGGTGAGCATATGATCGAATTCGTTTCTGGCAATTCTCAGTTTGTCAGGGGCCAGTCGTCGTGCTTTAGATGTCACGGGCTGTCCTGAGGTTATGATGTGGTGCATAACATTGCTGGTTATACACGGGAGATCGTTAGATGGGCAATTGAGTTCCGGATATTTGTTAACAATCGGTTGAAAAGTTGGATCGAGGATTGCTTTCATTTTAACGATTGACAAGCTGGGGCCTACGTAAGTTATGCCTTTGATAGACAAACTAGTAGTGTTGTCAATTAGTCGTTTACGGCGGACGTCTACGAGCAGATCATGATGATTAAGTAGGTCCGTGCCAATGATGGGCATTGTGACGTCAGCGATTAGGAAAATCCACTGAATAGGTTTGCGTAAACCTACGTTCAGATAGACGTATTTCCGACCATAGGCTGCAATTGGTTTTCCATTTGCAGCCTGTAGGTTGAAGTTAGGATCCCTCTGTCGATCTGCTGCTGTAGCAGGAAGGACGCTGACTTCGGCGCCTGTGTCGACTAGATATCTAGTCTGGCTCATTACATCATGGATGTAAAGTAAGCGGCTAGTGCCACCGGCGACGGTTGCCGCTAACGCGTGCCGGCGGGATAGTTTCCCACAGACTTGGAGGCTTTGCCGAAATCACAAGGTTTTCGACAACATTTCGCTTCCTGGCCATAGGTGTTGTGATACCAACACCAGTCAGGATTTTTGAGAGAACGTGAGTTGGACTTAGATCGTCCACGTGCGTTTAGCCGTTGAGGGGATTTAGAACGACGATAGGAGGAATTGCTAGGCTTGTTTGACCTAAGCATCTGCTGGACGGAGTTGATTAACTCTATCATTGCAGAATCCTTCCTCGAAGTCTGCTCGGTAACTGAGTATACTTCGGTAACTGGCCGTTTAGTTATCTCTAGAATTCTATCTGCAGAGACAGCTAAGTCATCCATGAGAACACCCTGAAGTGTCACAAGTACAGTCTGAACTGACTGTGGCAGTTTGGATAAAAATAGTTCTCTGAACAGTCCTTCATCGAACTGACTTTGGCCAATGATCTCTTTCATTCTTGCCAGCATGCTCACGGCCGACTGATCCCCTAACTCGATGTTACGAAATAACTCATCCAGACGTTGTCGATCCGTGAGAACGTTTCTCTTGAGGAGGGATGCTTTGAGCAACTCGTACGAGTTACCTACCGACATCTGCAGAGTTACGCACCTGCTGAATTCCCGCGATAGGGCGTGAATAACTGCGAGGAACTGTGAACGTTGATCAGTTATGCCATGTTCACAAAAATCAGACTCAGCAATCTGAAACCACGTTTCAGCATTATCTGGCCAATATGGTACTAGCTGGATTGTTTTGGCGGTTGAGCGAATCCGAATAACCTTGGGGCTAGGATCACTCATGATGAAAATACCGATTACAAAAGAGTACAGGAACAAACACAAAAAGGAACGAACTCACCGGGTTTATCTGCGTGTGAATTGAAGATGTAGTTCGTGGTTGGGCTCACCAGTTTGGAGGTTGCAGGTATCGACGTTAGCGAGTTGTACGGATTATACTAACGCGAGATCTTATACCAACAACTTCTATAGTGTTCGTTCTTCGAGTACCAAAGATAAAGCAAAAGACCAGATTTTGTCGTCCAAATTACGTAGTATATTTCGGGACAAAATCGCGGGTAGAGGTGAATGCTTAGCTAGCTAGTAATCGTGCACGCACGTGACACGACTGAGTACCAAATGGCGGGGATGCTTGACCGTAAGCCTTCAGCTAAACAAGTCGACTTAAACAGTGATGGTCAGCATCCAATGTTGAGTGATGATTGCTGTGGTTAATAATTTTGGGGAATTAATTACCGCTACAGAGTCAAACAGTGCTACGACAGTCGAGCGGTGGGATGAGCTACGCAGAAGTTTACCGAGTACCAGGAACCTGAACCGCACAATCAAGAGGTGAGCACAAAGAAATCAAATTGGTTTATACTAGCCCGTAAAAACGAAATTGGATTTGGGTGTTGAAACACTGAATACATTTCCGGGAATTGAAATACTTACGGTACCTTTGGTTAGTGTACATTTTACACTTTATGTTTCGCACTCTTTAGTTGCATTGCCTGCTTATCAGGCAGGCATCTTGTTACAGTTCAATTGAAAGTTTTTGCACTGAGTCCTTATTCACGTTGTCCATGGCATAATGCTAATATGTTTTTAAATCCATCTCTTTAAACTTGACAGGCCATATCACTTGTGTGACTAAATAAGTATTGTTAACATGTAATTTTTCGCCTACTTGACTTGAATACGTCTTTTAACCAAGAGAGCCTGCACTTTCGGAATCAGTTATGTAGTAGAATCTTAAAAAATATCAAATTCGAAGTATGTTAACATATATATATGTATTGGGAAGTGCAGCTAACAGTACATTCATTCCTTTGTGGTGAAGAATTCTTATTTTATTTGACAAGATTACTCGCTGTGTAGATATATCTCTAGGAAAACTTATTTGAACAATGCTTGTTTTATCCATAAGTTTTGTCATTTGATGGCTGATTTGAAGGATAATGTTTTAGGTGTATCAAATTCTGAATACCACTTGTATTACGCCTTTTTGTCACTGATTTATTGTACAGATCTTATTAACCTGTTGACTTGTTATTGCTAATTTTCCATGTTGTTACTTCAGTTTTACTGTGATTTGTCATTTGAAGTCTAGATGGGCACTTTCTCTGGTTACTGCAATTCGATTGTGTTTGGTTAGTGCATCTGGCTAAATCTCAGTGTACTGCTCGGAATAATTCGATGCGTTTTATCTTCGTGTAGCAAGGTTCATTGAAGCGAAAACATAGTTGGAATTTCTAGGGAATATGTGGAAACTTATCCCAAGCTATATCACTTTACTTTACTTTACTTCGGCTATCTCCTACGGGAGGATGAGCCGGCTTCATGAACATCTGGAATCATCGCTGCCCAGGCGCGGCGATCTGATGCAAGGTTTTGCGACAGGGTTATCCGATTTTTGTTCCACAGACGGAGTCCGTAGACGGTTTGTAACCCCAGGCACTCTATATCAGCCTTGACTATACCGGGAACGCCGTAGCATGGTGAGAGTCGTTTGTAAGAGAGTTCATGAAGTTTCATGGGAATTTGGTACGAGTGATGTCCCCAGAATCGCTCGGCCTTTTGTTTGAGAGTGCAGCTCTAGCCTTTACACAACCAAGTGTGACCTACAAGGCAGTAGGAGTGGAGTAGGGAGTCCACTGTCCATTGGCAGCCGGTGACCGGAGTTCGGTTCATACGCCTTTTTGAATGGGGCCAGACATCCAGGATATGCAACAAGCCCTTTGTCCATACGTCTGCCGGTGAGCTCCAGTAAGCTTCATACGCCAGTCGTTGGAGGTTTGGAATCAGGGTTTAGCCATCTCCCCTAGACTGTCATCCAATGGACAGTCAACCCGGTGAAGAGCACCGGGCATCCGCTTTCGCCCTCTCACTTTGGTGTAAAACACCTCCGCCACGTGAAGGCAGTGAGTAGGACTTCCTCAGGAGAGGCTATGTAAGACGCCCGGTCATATGGGAGCATTTCAAGAAGTGTGCGGAGAGGTGGCCAACCCGCAGCGCAAGGCACCCACCCCCGACCATCCTGAGGCTTTGGAGTAACAGAGAAACTCTAAGAGAACTTAGAAATAATGAAAGCTTGATTATTAGCAAACCGGATAAAGGTGATGGTGTAGTTTTACTGGATGAAAGCTATTACTTTGAGAAAATGGAAGGTATTTTGAGTGATCAAACTAAATTCCAATCTCTTGGTAGTTCCAAAGACCTCACTGTAAGAGCGGACAAACTAATGATCGACTCCTTCAAAAAAACTGAACCAAATAGGAGTATTATCATCAGCCACGTATGAGTCCATGAAACCAACGGCTACCAATACTCCACGTCTTTAGGGTCTTCGAAAACTTCACAAACCGGGTCTTCCTCTTCTCCCTGTTTTAGATGTGTATAACTCTCCATTTCACGGAAGAGCGAAGTGGTTAGTGAACATTCTGGGACCTTTGCACAGAGAAATCGTGCAACATAGAATTAGTGATGTCTTCAACTTTATTTCTAGAATATCCAAGACTGACATGAGGGATAAACGCATGTTATCCATGAATGTATCATCACTATTCACGAATGTACCACTTATGGAAATAGTAGAAATCACCGAAAGGCAATTGGACTTAGAAATTCCCTTGTGTAGCCTCAAAGAATTACTCCTTAAATGCACAATGAATGTGCACTTTGTCTTCAGTAATTCATACTACCGACAAGTAGATGGAATAGGTATGGGTGGTTCAGCATTAGGCCCAATACTAGCTGACTTCTTCCTCGCAAAACTTGAAAACGGGAAGTTCAAAGACATCATCAGGGAGTTTGATATGTATTACCGTTATGTTGCTGATACATTTATCTTAGCTGATGGGAATGTAAACATAGACGAATTGTTGCTGAAATTCAACAACGTCCACCCTTCGCTAACCTTTACTTGTGAAAAGGTGCGGAATATTAACTGCATTTTCTGGATGTCTTAGTGAGTAGGCGAGAAGATTGGTCACTTGGGAGAAGCGTGTATAGAAAAAGCACATTCACAGGGCGATACTCACACTTCCTTAATTACATGCCCATTAAATATAAAAGAAATGTTGTTAAATATCTTACGAGCAGAGAAAGAAAGATATGTACGAATGACTTTTTACAAAAGGAATTTGAAAATATTCACGACTCCTTGACGGAGATGGGCTATCCGAGTAGTTTCATAAAGAAACATGAAAACATCAGAGAGAAAACCTGAGACTATGACTGCACGTAAGAAACCTCTATTTATTAAGTTACAATTTAATGGTGACTCATCAAGTGAGATTTTATTCCAGAGACTTTCCAGGAGTATATGAAGAACTAGGATCTGAGTTCCATTATGGATAAGATTTTACTTTGATAAAATGTCACACAGTGTGTGTAGTGTTATACAGTAATATTAACTGATGTGACCACGTTTCGAGCACAAATTATTACCACTCATAATCATATCAAGTCACTCACACAACTTTTTTCCTTCATTTATATACATGTGTGGAATCGATTAGACATTGGAATAAAAATCAATATGGGATAATGTACATTCAGAAATAATAATAATAATATGAGTGCCATTGATCAATTACAATCAGATGGGAAATAAGACGAGTGTTTCTGTTATAGTCATAATAAGTAACTTGTTAGAATGTTGTGATGTACGTGAATTGAATTGAAATGGAATACAATTTAAGATTATTTATTATCCTCCTCTGATTTGACTTACTAAGTGACTGACTGGTGGTAATAATATCTTCCATGCATATTTCTGCTATTTGCATTGAGTCATTTCTGTTGCATGTGTTGGGTGTAGACTCGACGAACTAGGCAGGATTCAGTAATCAACCTTTCTCACTCTCTCCACCTACCTAGATTACTTCTTAGAATTTTAACTCTCTTTTCCATCATGTTATTGTGTGGTTGTGTGTTAATGCATGCATGCAGTGCAATGTAGTGCTGAGTGCTTTTTTCTAAATTACTCATCTTCTCAGGTGGGGTCAACCATTCTTACCTTAGCTAAATTCTTATGTTCCGACAATCTGACTACCCCTGACCTACTAGTTTGACCTATGTAGTTGACCTGACACCCACCACATGCAACAGAAATGACTCACGAAAGCTGAGACAGAATGCGAAATGAGACTGGAATGTATATAGTAAAGAATTAGTATCTCAGAATGAAATAATCTTGACTTGTAAACACGAGAAAACCAGGCAGGCTTTAGGCCAGGAAGAGAGTGTATTGATCATATCTTCACCCTCCGACAGATTCTAGAACATGGGTTAATTATTGGTGTCAGAGCCAGAGTCAATTTACTACTGATAACTAACCACACATGGCATTATTGGTAGTGTGGATATATTGATATATTCAGAGTCATCTAAAATTTTTCCTAACGTACATGGCGAAAAAGTTTATATCAATAACAGTCAAGTGCTCATTGACTTTTGTGTGATATACAACCTTATTCTTTACCAACCTTTAATTATTAACTCATGGAAAATTCCCATTGTCACATATAGAAAATCGAAACAAGTGGTGATTCAGTCAGCGAAGAGACTCTTTTCAACAACGAATTTATCATCAAGCTGTACAGTCGTATGTACATATGTGGTTTTTAAGAAGTTACATGTGGTGAGGGAATTGAATCATAGGTGTGAATGCATAAAATAATAATAATAATAATATGAAATGCAATTAAAACTAAAATGTTTGTGATTATAACCGCAGTTAAATGTCAAGTGGCAAAGCAAATTAATGTCATATATAGAATAATTCATAGGATGGATAGAACTTGGTAGAGCGTGTGTGTGCAATTATAGAATTAGTAGACAAATCGAATAAAATAAAAATAAAAACGGTACGTTATATTGTGGGAAATTTGATAGCATAGAATTTAACGTTGTAAAAAAGAAGAATTGATTTAGAATGACAAGTGGAACAAGTGAAATAAATCCGGGGACAGTTCAAAGTGAGAATAGTAATAGCTATAGTAACAATCGACATTGTAATAAAGGAAGAGAATACAAGTTGAATAGACAAAATGAAAAATTGGTTGAGCCAAGATATGATTGGGGATTACCATAATTTTGCATAGAGGGATCATAACACCATGAAAGTTGGAGGGGAGGGGTTGAACGAACTCTTTCTGTACACAGAGCTCTGGCTTCTCTGTTTCGATAGCCAAAATGGCTTCAGCAATACAACAGATGAGTCGGGTACGTAGTGATTTGGGTAAATTACTCTTTGCCTTGTAGATGACTTTGAAGGCGGAGGCTATAGAGATAGGGTGATCATTATCGCAAGGAGATGTTCAATGAACGCGCTTCTTATTGCTCCACTTCCACCTCTTCGTAACTAACATGCCGGATAGTGTTCTTGCATCCTCTTGGATAAAAATTCGAGTCGAACGACCGATATACCTATCTCTACACGAGCAGGTGAATTGATCAATAGCGGGATCTTGTCGTTCAGGTTACTGAACAGTAATGGTCGACTAGTAAAGGCTATTTATTCTCAGAGATGCTGCAGGGAATGTTCTTTTCAAGGACTGTGATATCCTTCGTTTCATAATATTGGAAGCTGAGTCCTCTTTGAATTCCAAGCTCATGTACAGTATTTTCTGGGGTGCGGATGTTAAGTCACGTTCTATGGGATTTGAATGTATATTCTTATCTATAAAACATGGTGGAAATCCATTTTCTATTAGGATTTTCCTCAAAAGATATAACTCATCTTCCACAGTGCCAGGGCTACATATGCGCCGAATTCCACTTGACATTTAACTATGATTATAATCACAAACATTTTAGTTTTAATTGCATTTCATACTATTATTATTTTATGCATTCACTGAGATCTGTTATTCCATTCCCTCACCGAATATAACTTTTTAAAAGCCTCATATGTACATACGACTGTACAGCTTGATGATAAATTCGTTGTTGAAAAGAGTCTCTTCGCTGACTGAATCACCACTTGTTTTGGTTTTCTTTAATTATTAATATGATAATAATAATGTTTCGTAATAGGGGTGTATTTTAAGTGTAGTACTGACCTAAGTTGAACCAGCCTACAGTTTTTTTTGTATGTCTGTCTAATTATTAAAACACAATTTTCATAACATAGTTCCTGTGACATATAAGTGGGCCTTTTTGAACTACTAACTATATATTTTGTATTACAGATTCTTCCTGTTGGCCAGGTGGGGTTAGGTGAATAACCACACTTGGGTCTTGTATGCGTGTTTCTGAAACACAACATACATCAATGGCTCTTGATGCCAGAGTCTTGGCTAGTGATGCTTGTTGTCCTATTTGGCAAAGTGTCCTAACATTAAATGCCTCTATATGAAATTGGTGACGTGGCTTTAGGAGACTATCGATGGTGGTTTTTTGGCTTCCGTCGTTTTCAGTGCACACAGAGTAAACAGGAAGTGAAGAGCCATTAAGTAGAGGAGTTGCATTAGTAGAAGGAAGGCAAGATAATAGAGATGAAGATGAAGACAAGGATGAGTGAGGATTAGAGAGGTTTCGCGTGCACTTCGGATTGGAAGTATCCTTAACTGAACTTAACGATTTAGGAATCGACTTGTTACCAGGGAATAGTCTTACGGACTTAGAATATGCAGATGACATAGTCCTGTTAGGGGAGGATGCTGACAAAATGCAGAGTCTTCTGAACACCTTGAGCAGCAATCTTCGTATGTTTGGCATGCGATTCGCCCCTGTAAAATGTAAGATGCTGCTACAGGACTGGACTATGTCAACTCCTAGCTTAGTAGTGATGAGGAGTGAAGTGATAGAACATGTTGACCACTTCACCTATTTGGGAAGTTGTATCAGCACCAACGGATTGATTGGTGACGAAATCTCAGCACGGATCTAAAAAGCTCGGACTGCTTTCGCTAACTTACACCACACCGTCTCTGGCGTAGGCGTGACATCCGGCTATCAACCAACCAAGGGACGTGTGTACTGCTCAGGAGTTCGCTCCGTCCTTCTCTATGGCTCTGAAACATGGCCAGTACGAGTTGAAGACATGAAAAGGTCGACTGTCTTTGATCATAGATGTCCACCATCTCTTTCTCACGTTAGGTGGTATAATAGGGTAAGTAATGTTGACGTTAGGCGTAGAGTGTTGGGCAAAGAGAGAAAATCAATCGAAGAGGCTATAAAGTTACATAGATTGAGATGGCTAGATGACGTGCTGCGCATGCCTAACCATCGCCTCCCCCTCCTGACGGGCATTATTACTAGCTGATATAGGTGCAGGTTGGAAAAGAGTAAGTAATGGCCAAACAAAAACATGACCTCATCAATCCATGAAAACCTTGACAGTTAAACTGAATCAGACTCAGACTTCCGGGTTGGGGCCCACCCTCGGGACTCTAAGAATCAATGGCTGGAGACAGACAATAGGTGTGACATGGCTCAAAATCGTTGTCAATGGCTTACACAGATGTATTCAGTCTCTTGTGTAATCTTTCATATTCCTTTCTACCATTACTCATTCTGTTTCACTCTTATACTTGTCGAAACTCTATTGATTCTCTTCACTCATCTATCTTCTTGTCTACCTTTGTGTGCTGTTTGGAACGTGGCAACTTGAACTGTTGCACTTCGGTGCCAAGTTCTATGCTGAATCCAGCCAGCCATTTTGTATTACATGATTTCATCATAAGCTGACATTGGTTAGAGAACCATTGGAAAATATGCAGGGATTACTGGACAGCCAGCTGTTTCGTCCTAGTTTGGGACCGGCTATTCAGCAGTACGCACCCACCGCCAGGGTTCGAACTGGCACGACTGGCATCAACCAATGCCATCGGTGGGAAATCCGTCCTCACACTTAACGGATCGGGTCCCATTGGCTGGATGGTATACGAGCCGGCCAGCTTGCCTTGTAACCAGAAGGTCCTGTGTTCGAACCCCGCTGTGTGGAGTGCGTACTGTGAAGAGTCCCAAACTGGGACGAAACACCCGGTTGTCCAGTACTCCCTGTGGATGGTTTTCCAATGGTTCTCTAACCAATGTCAGCTGGTCACGATGAAATCCTGTAACCAATCAACCAAATCTCAACAAACCAACACTTGAATATATTTTGTATCTTGCTGATGTGTTTTCCTTTTTTATTTCGCCAACTTTCAAATCGGGAAGGCGCAGGGTGAATTATGTAGTCCTGAATCAACAATATTTATTATTATGTCATTCAGTCATTATTGAGTTTCACTTTGAAGCATTCTATGCCTGTAGCATACATAGATGGCACTGAAATTGAAACTAAGTCAAGCATTAAATAAATACCTTGGATTAGTTCTTTCCTCTCTGACCTTTCATGGTCATCCCACATCTTATCAATCAATCTCTAAGAAAATTTTTCGTCTACAACCTTCTACAATAAAAAAGTTAAGACAATCAGGTATCAACCAACCTTTACTTCTGCAGTTTGTAAACTCCTGTATTTTACCTGTTGTACTCTATTGCTCTCCATTCATCTTTCCTGAGCTTCTCAAAAAAGACTATATCATTAAATTACGAAGGGCATAAAATGCTGTGAGTAGGGCTTATGGTATGCCACTGCCTGAGCTCACCAATATTATAGTCAAGAGACATATAAAATCCTGTACAAAGTGGGCAAAGGCCGTACTGTCAGACCCTCTGCACCCCCTTTATTCACAACTATCCCCTTGTATCTCATCAGGTAGGACGAGAAGTCAATATAAGAAGTTATATGCTCGCACCACTAAGTGCAAAAATTCTACAATGCCCTATTTTGCCCGTATTTTATGTGATGGAGACACTCACTGTTAGACATGAAACATATAAGAAGTTACTATGTAATTACAAGCGAAAACCGACAAACTGGTCGAAGAAGCAGCAAAGACAGGGCTCCAGGTGAACATAGACAAGACGGAGGTTATGAAAATAACCAACCAACAACAACAGCAGCAACATCCAGCGCCAATCACCATCAACGGGAGGGATTTGAAAGAGGTGACTTCATTCACTTATCTAGGGAGCATTGTCTCAACTACAGGAGGAACAGACGAGGATGTCAAATCAAGAATCAGGAAGGCGAGAAACACATTCATCATCAACCTGGAACCAATCTGGAAATCTTCGTCACTCAGCAACACTCAACAACAAAATTCGGATTTTCAATACAAACGTCAAGTCACTTCTTCGTCTATACGGATCAGAAACTTGGCGGGTCACAAAGAATATTTCCAACAGCCTGTTGCAGACCTTTATCAACAGCTATCTTCGTTCTATATTGAAGATCAGATGGTCGGAAAGAATCACCAACAAGAAACTATGGGAACAAACAAACAAAACAAGAACCAATCGCCCAACAAATATGCAGGAGAAAGTGGAGATGGATTGGACACTCGCTGAGGAGGCCGTTCGGTGACATTGCGCGTCAGGCCTTCGCTCGAGTGGAACCCGAAAGGGAAGCGGCCAGTGGGTCATGTCTCCAAGGGTGACATGGAGGAGATCGTGTAAAGAGGAGTTGAGACAGTATGGACTAACATGAATGCAAGTGAAAAGTACAGCAGAAGACAGAAGCAAGTGGAGGCGCGCAGTTGAAGCCCTATGTTCCACTAGGAACCCAAGGGAATAATAATAGTAATAATGTAATTAGCAAATTGAATCAACCCTTTCATCGTTCGTTCATCTTTCTGTAATTTTATGGTGTTGTCACCCTTTATATTTATACTTTATGCATATTTTTTCTTATTATAGCATACTGTAATATGCTACATAGCTGCTATAACAACGTTTTGTTATTATTATTATTGTCGTTTTGAGTAAATTAGATGCAATATTGTACTGAATGCTGAAAACTCCTTGCTGTATCATCATTAGTACTGTTTTTGGAATAAAGCAAAAGAATAGACACGGAACAAAGAGTACTCTTTTCGATAAATTCATCATCAGGTTCTACAGTTATATATACATTATAGTGAATGGACGAATTAGTCTTATGAACGACATAAATGCTGTTTAAATAACATCAAATCAATAATATTGATAGATTACAGCTGAACAGCATCAACATAAAATAAACTGAATGTCAGGAGAATTAGGAAAGGTAATAGTACAAATTCATGAGTTTATGGTCTCTACTGAGGGCCAGGGCAGTAGTAGGGGCTGGACTTGTTTCTTCTGGACACAAAGCACTGGTTGTTTGAGGCGAATTGCAATAGCCTCTGGTGTTTGGAGCATGTGGTGCTTCGATGATGATTTTGCCAATTTATTAGGCACCCGGTAGATGATGATAGAGAAGGATTCTTCAATGCTGGCTGACTGGCTGGCTTTGTGGCCGGCTGTCCGGTTTGCACCAGATGGTGCAATATCGAACTGTTGATGATGGTTTTCACTACACACCTTTACTTAGCCATAGTGGGAGATGTTCTCGAGTGAGCGAGCACGAAAAATCAAGTTCCTAGAGCAACAACGGCCAATATAACTCGCTCCACCAGCACAAGCACAGTTGCAGTTGAATTGGTAGATACAATTTGAAGTGGCCAGCTAGTCTAGGTACTTCATCTTTCAGTCGAGGAATCACCATCGGTCGTGTAGAGAATAAGACGTGTAGTTCACCAGCATTAAAAGTTTGAACTGATTTTCTTAATTTCTTCGTAATTATCTCACTTGGTATACGATCGCCCTTGAATTGCAGTCGTATATAAAGTGGCTTCTTGTTCACATGGATAATGAGTAGTCGTTTTCCGCCGCTCTCTTTGTCATATGTTTCTTGATAGCTATTTGTCAGGATAGCTATTTTCGATCAATCAAGGTATCATATACCATGCTTAATTCATCTTCAATTACTTCTTCAGAGCATATAGCTCTAACTAACTCTGTGGCCGAGTGAGGGTCTTCACTAAATTCCTTTTGTGTATTTGATGGGAACGAAGCTATGAAAATGTGTGTATATTGTCCCGTCCAAGTACTTTTTATTTTTTTTGTTTATTATTTTTTATTATTTTTTGTTGTTGTAGAAATGAAATGAAATTCAACAACCGAGTATGGATTTATTTGCAATGCTGACTGATGATCATCCTCGCCATCGCCATCACCAGTACCAGCACCATCACTTGATGAGTGTTTCCAGAAGACATGTTGGCTGTGGATTATGGTTAGGCCTGATTGTTCCCTCTCTACTCCTGAAAACCGGATATAAATCACTCAGTCTTGAATTCTTTTTATCCCCTTTGATCACAATTTTTCTTGCAAAAACAACAAATAATAATGACTATGCTAAACTCCTTATCATTCCTGTGTGTTTATGGTTGGCGGCGGGGGTGGGATGCCATAATAATAATAATAATAATTTTACAAATCATATGATCACAACAATTCGTCCCTTGTTTAGTATCATGTTTATATTCAGCTTTTCTTGCAAATTAATGCACCTCTTTCCTTTATCATTCAGTTTTGGTGAAGCTATACTGCTTACTCAACTCTGTGCCGTATTTATTATCACTGAGTGTAATTTTTTAATCCCATTCTTACTGCTTTACCTGCTTGAGCGTTATTCAGTTCCCTTTTCAATGAAAAATGCTTTTTTCATGCTGTCAATGCTGTTAATTTCTAGTGGATACTGTTGGTTTTATTTCTGTCGAACACAGATTCCTAGTAATTTCATTCTGGATCAAATCCAGTGTCTTATCTCGCCAATAAACTTTATTTTATTGATTTTTTGGTTGAGTCTTTTTGTTTTTTGCGTTTATGTCACTACTATTTATCGCTATTCGAATACCTTGTGTTGTCAAACTGTCAATATTTCGGAATTTTATGATTGTCGTCCGCCTTTATCATCGTCAGTGGAGTCGGATTTATCAGATCAGAGTGAATATTACGAGACGTGTAATGAAGGTTCATCACTCATCATCAGCATCATCATCAGGATGTGGTGATACAGCAGTTCTTACGACTTCTTCTTCTTCTTCAACAGATGCTGCTAAAAGGTTTAAAATGCGTAAACTGTTTCATTTCGCTGCTGGTCTTGTATATACATCTGGTTTACTGTACTCACCTCATTTGCTTTCTTTGGCTTCTGCAGCACTGTTGATTGTATTTTGGTGTTTTGAATGGATACGAAGACGAGGGGTAGGTTGATAGTTTCAATTGGAATTTTTTTAAAATATTGTTGAGATTCCTTCAGTTGAATTTGACAGTGTATCTGTGAGGGGTTATCGTTCATCCAACTCATGCGAGAATCCAATTACATCGACTGAGATGGTTAGGACATGTGTTACGTATGCCTAGTGATCACCTTCCTCAACAATGGGCAATGTTAGCTGATCTAAGGTTGGTCAGGCTGGAAAAGAGCTAGCTAGCGGCGGTCAAACGAAAACATGGCACCAGTCAATGAAGCCTACAACAGTTAGTCTGAGCCACGTAGGAAGGTGTAGATTGGCTTCCTGATTGGTCGGGGTCCTCGGGACGGTAAAAGCCAATGAAGGTTGGAAACAATTGGTGATATGGCTCAAAATCGTTCTCAATGTCTAGTGCAGATGCATCCACTCCTTGTGACTTATAATTTCCAATTAAACTTTTAAAAGTCAATCTGAACGAAGAATATTCTTTTCAGTAATTTCTCTTCAGGTTCTTACAATTATAAAATATAATATTTGTTGTCGTTACAATAAAGGCCAGTTATGCGGTAGATACATTTTTAACGTAGAATAACAGATTAGCGGTTATGGGGTGTCAAAATAAATAGTCGTATTTGTGTGACAAACGTGCTAGGCTGAATTCGATTACAAAATATTGTCACACAAATACGACTATTTATTTTGACACCCCATAACCGCTAATCTGTTATTCTACGTTAAAAATGTATCTACCGCATAACTGGCCTTTATTGTAACGACAACAAATATTATATTTTATAATTGTAAGAACCTGAAGAGAAATTACTGAAAAGAATATTCTTCGTTCAGATTGACTTTTAATTCATAATATGGGAATTTTCCACACTATCAAATTAAACTTTTGTTCTTTGTTATTACTATTCCTTTGTCTCAGCACACCTCTGTTTACTGTCTCTCTATTATGCATTTCTTCTACTTTCTTCTGTTGCTTTGTGTGCTACATGGAGGGAGTGTGGCGACTTGAACTGCCGCACATCGGTGCAAAGTTCTATGTCGAAAACTGACCGACCGACCGATGCGAGAATCCGATTCTCAAGTAAATCGATGATGATGATGATCCAATTTGTTACAGGTTTAAACAACGCATTATTTGATTGCATGGCGGATTTCATTATGAGCTGAAATCAGTTAGAGAACCACTGGAAAACCAGCCACAGGGAGTACTGGACAGCCAGCTGTTTCGTCAGCCAAGTTTGGGACTCTTCAGCTCGCCTCGTAACCAGAAGGTCCTGGGTTCGAACCCTGTCAGTCGGGTGGGTACGTACCACTGAAGAGTCCCAAACTAGGCTGACGAAACAGCTGTCCAGTACTCCCAGTGGGTTTTTTCTAACGGTTCCCTAACCGATGTCAGGTCATGCTGAAATCCTCCATGCAATCAAACAAACAACCCTACAAACAAATACTTGAAAAATATCCCTATTTATTTATTATTTTTCTAGGATTTAGTTGACATGTAATAATGTCACTATATTTGAAAAAAAAATAGATAACACCATAGAAATATTTGAGTATTGTGAGTTGTGTGAACAGACTGCCATATAGCTTTATTGTTGGTTTTTACAATTAAATTTGTTCATAGGGAATAAAAAAACAGTTGCAGCGAAGAAAATTTTCTTTTCGACGAAGTCATCATCTAGGCTGTACATTCGTGTATTTATATCAAATGGATGGGAAAGTTCCAGAATAATTTCTGGTTAGGGGTCAAATTAATAAAAATTACAATTAGGAATTAGGATGCCATAATAAACAGGGGGACGGGTAAACCTCAAACAAAGTAGCATAATAACTAAGAAGATTGACATTGTGCAATTAGGGGTTAGAAATGTAGAAATAACAAAATATACAGGATGTTTGGATAAAAAACTAGTGTGATGAATAATTGTTTATGCAATCAGGGATTAAATATGTAGAAATAGTAAAATGACAAAATAAACAGGAAGTGTGGATATGAAAATATGGTAGTGTAGACAGGGCTTAAGAAAAACTTAAAATAACATGAATAAACAGCAAGTTTAGATAAGAAAGGCGATGGGATGGTCATTATTAAAAAATTTACCTGTTTACGATGGCCATGGCCATTGTTTATTAAAACAATTATTCATCACACTAGTTTCTTATCCAAACATCCTGTATATTTTGTTATTTCTACATTTCTAACCCCTAATTGCACAATGTCAATCTTCTTAGTTATTATGCTACTTTGTTTGAGGTTTACCCGTCCCCCTGTTTATTATGGCATCCTAATTCCTAATTGTAATTTTTATTAATTTGATCCTTAACCGGAAATTATTCTGGAACTTTCCCATCCATTTGATATAAATACACGAATGTACAGCCTAGATGATGACTTCGTCGAAAAGAAAATTTTCTTCCTCGCTGCAATTGTCTTTTTAATAACTCCTATGACCCAATGTGTATATTCCGTGAATTAAATTTGTATTGCAAATAGCATTTGTTGACTTTTGCCGGCTACATCACACAAGTTAGGATTCCACTATTAATTAGATGTATGTTCAGAATTTCACAGATTATTACACAACACTGACGATAGCATGCTTTACTTATTGAAATTCTGGTGGCTATAATCCAGGATGGCTGAGTAACTTTGCTTGTTCATTAGATATTCCTTAAGCAGTAACTTTCCAGACCGTGGGTGTTACGAAATTTCCTGGAATAATTTGAGCGTCGAGTCAGATTGATTCATTATAAATTATTTAAATTAATCCCAGTGTGTTTAAGAAAAGAAGAAAATCAAAACAAGATCTGTTTTCTGAACGTTTCGCTGTTTAAGCTGCCACAGCAGCTTCTTCAGCAGATTTATTCGGATTTTTTATTAATCATCAAAATACATATAGTCAAAACATTTTTACATAAATTGAAGTAAGGCAGTTTATATGAAGGTCTCTCGTCGATAGACATTCGTGCCAATAGAAATATGTAAGCAGTCATCAATCATATATTTGTAATTACTAGTGTCAAATTCTCATTGTGTATATTTTGTATGAGTGTGTGAGTGTATGTTATTTGTCGTATGGAAAAGACATCAATTCACATGTGATGAACATGAAGGCTCATAGAGTTTTTGTTGTTTTTTCCTCTGTCTTGCTTCATAAGAGTTTGCCATATAGGTGGTGATAAGTCTACCCCTTCTCTCCTTCTTATATACTGCATTCGATGTGGTTAAAATGTGCAAGGCAGGCTTCAGAGGTCAACCTTTCTAATTTCGACATTGTCGAAATCAATCTTTTGTCCACTGTCCATAGATGACAGCATGCATTGCTATAGCCGATCTATTCTCAAGACTTTTTAATCCTACTTCATTTCTAGGCGGGGACGTTTCTCTAGAAAGAAAAGCACTAAAAAGTTTTAGTTGTCATCCTAGAACAGATATGTAGACGTGACACATTTATCATCATAAAGAAAGCTGAAAAAGAAAACACTTTCTAACAGAGATTAACTTAATCTCAGAATATATAGAGAGAGTTTACTAATGAAGTAGAATCGGCTGAGGGAACTCTAAACTTTCTCGATTGTCTTGTAAAAAGACAAACTGACAAGGAAACTAAAGTGTACCATATACAGAAAGCTGACACATTCCAATAAGTATTTGAATTTCCAATCAGATCATCCATCCAATAGGAATGAAAGTTTCAGTAGCTTGAAATCTCGTCATAACTAGAAGTAGAAACATTACGACAGATAATGATGATGGTAATATGGAGAAAGAGATATCCAATGTAAAACAAAATTCTGATTGGAGATGGTTATCCGGAAAAACTGCTAAATAATAATATTATCAATAAAATGGACCGGAAGGGAAAACAGATAATTGGAAAGTCTTGGCTACCGATCGATGACAGCCATTCCATATCGAAAGGAGACAGCTATTAATAAACTCAAGGCCCCCCCACCTGTGTATTCAAAAACAGTTTATTATTACTCTTAACCTACCTACCTTGGTAATCCTTACATGGAAAACAGAAATATTGAGCGAAGAAATATTTATTTTTCAATTAGATCCTCATCTCTGGCTCTACTCTAATATATAATAATAATTTGCTTTATTCCAAAAACAGTACTAATGATACAGCAAGGAATTTTCAGCATTCAGTACAATATTGCATCTAATTTACTCAAAAACGACAATTACAAATAATAAATAAACGAAATAATTAATACATAATAATGATAACAAAACGTTTTTATAGCAGCTATTTAGCAAGTTACTGTAAGCAGTACGGAGAAAAATACGCATAAAGTATAAAATTATAGTAATAATAGTAATAACAACTAAAAAATAAAAATAGCAGAGTTATAATTAAACGATAGAAAGGGTGACACCACACAATTACAGAAAGATGAACAATGAAAGGGACGATTCACTATGCTAATTACATAGTAACTTATATGTTTCACGTCTAACAGAGTCTTCATCACATAAAATACGGGCGAAATAGGGTATAGTAGAATTTTTGTACTTAGTGGTACGACCATATAATTTCTTATATTGACTTCTCGTCCTACCTGATGAGATACAAGGGGATAGTTGTGAATAAAGAGGGTGCAGAGGGTCTGACAGTACAGCCTTTGCCCACTTTGTACAGGAATTTATATGTCTCTTGACTATAGTATTGGCGAGCTCAGGCAGTGGCAAACCACAAGCCCTACTCACAGCATTTAATACCCTTCGTAATATGACATAGTCTTTTTTAAGAAGCCCAGGAGAGATTAATGGAGAGCAGTGGAGTACAATAGGTAAAATACAGGAGTTTAAAAATTGCAGAACTAAAGGATGGGATGACCATGAAAGGTCAGAGAGGAAAGAACTAATCCAAGGTATTTAATGCTTGACTTGGTTTCAATTTCTGTGCCATCTATGCTACAGGCATCATGGGAACTAACTAGTTCATGTATGTCACGTCGATGCTTGAAAGTAAAGTTAACTGCCTGACA